AAAAGTTCTCGTGGAATCCCAGGGTTTCGCAGAAGACAGTTTTGATTTTGGTAATTAAGATGCGAATTGCATGTCTCTGAAGTTGAATTAGAGAATATGCAAGACTGGGGCTACCTTTGTAATCTTAGCTGGAAAAGATGCTTAGTTGTGTGTGTATGTGTGTGTGTATCTTCAGATTGCTGCATTATTCTATTCCTGTAGCTTCAGTTTGTATCAGTGGTACAATCTCTCCCTTATTGTTGGTGCTCTGGCAAATTGGGGGTGTTTTTCTTGATCCTGGCCCTTGGTTGCATGGATTATTGTCTGATTATTCTATTGTTGTTTGGTTTTTAATCATTTATGCTTGTCACATTGCCATGTGACCATAGAAGTTCCCAGTTGCTTATTCAACAACTGGATATGGCTTGTTTGTTTCTTCATCTATGGTTCTGTTTTCAACATGGTGGTGCTTTGTGTGATGCAAGAGTTAATAAGAGGAGTGGTATTAAACTTCCTTTATTTTTATCCCCTAACTTATATCCACTTTTATATTTAACTGAGTTACGGCTGTCATGCTGAACTTTCCTATATTCCTAAGTTAGTTTGATAGCATTTGTTTGTTTGTTTTTAGTTAACCGAGAAGTTTCTAACTTTCAGCATACATGGCCGCAAGCTCATTATGACCGTTCAACTTCTAATGCAAATTTTTAGTGAAACTTATATGCTGAGGCAATTTTTTCTACTCCAAATCAGCAACCAGTTAGCATTTGGAGTTTGCAGTAATCAGACGAAAACTTCCAGGGAGTAGCATGTGCACCGTGACTGAGATAACAGTGGACTGTGCAAGCTGGTTTGGATTATAGATTAAACTGCTGGATGAATCTCTGTGCAGATGGAATGAGGTTTACCGCTTCTCCCAGAGGAAGAGAAATAGCAATTGCTTGCTTGCACCAATGTATGTATACAGAATAATATCTGCTGGCAAATTTTAACTTTCCTTTCATAGGTTGCAATCCTTGAGGAATGTAATTGATATATAATAGATGCTTTGTTTGCCCTTCAAACAATAATGTGAGTTGAAGAAAGACAGAAAAACCATTCCATTAATATATTTGCTTCTAAGCAGGGCTGGGGAACATATGTCCACCATATCTTGTTGAACTACAACACCCAGCAGGACTTCCAGTAGCGAGGAATGAAGCAATCTGTAGTTCAGTGACATCCTAATGGTCAAATATCTTATTATAGAGGCACATTAAAAAATAAAATACTACACATTTTACTGCTCCTTGATATTCTCCAAATGTTCCTTGAGATAGTGGGAGTTAATCAAGCAGAACCCAAAGGCCCTAAGACTGTTGCAGATTATTGTTTCAAAGCACAGTTCATCTTTTGTACAGTCCTGCATTGTTTTGTTTTCTTTCCATAATACGACTATATGAATGGTTTTGAACTTCAGCGCTGTATGCGCAGGTATTTTTGTCTGACAATTGGTGGTTGATTGAATCAATGTCAAATAGTTCTAAAGACTGAAAGAAGCTTGATTGATTTTGATCATTAAGCCCTGTAAAGGGGGTGCTATTAATTTAGCTGGTGAGGATATTAAGCACTGGTTGTGACATGTTAGGTTAAAGAGCTACCAGTGATATAAAGCCCTCTTTTCTTTCCTTGGTCCTTGATTCTGAGTCCCTTCAGGGTTGCACCATCATAAATAAATCAAGCATGTTTGGGCACAGTTAGCAGCCTCTGTTTAGCAAAGGCACATGACTAAAAGGACACCAATGCTTAATCATCCCAGATGGGGAAAGGGAGAAAAGGGAGGGAGGCACCATCTCACCCTCCACATCAAAAAGAGGGGTCATTCATAGGATTATAGAGGGCAATTTTTTCTACACCTAAGCGCATTAGAGCTGACCTAGGAACAAAGAAAAAACTACTGATTTCTACTCTTTTTCTATTGCCTCCTCTACTGTCCAGAACAATAGCACCTTCATAGGCATTCTCCATTTAAAATGGCAGGGTGAGTTGCCTGGTTCATTGTTCTCTTCTACTGGGTTAATAGTAATAACGTTATAGCTGTTGTCGCCGATCCTGACCCACACAACACTTCTTCAGTCATTGTGTTTTCAGATAGCTCTAGCAGCATGCAAGATTGTCTCAGGACTTTCTCCTGCCATTGCTGCATTTGCGGTGGGTGTTAGTTGGGTCGGTTGGAGCTGCTAGTGTTGCTGTCACTGGAGGGATTTTGGTTATTACTCTAAAACAGTGTTTCTAAATCATAGCAATGTTAAGATCTGTGGACTTCAACTCCCAGAATTCCCCAGCCAGCTACACATCTTAAAGTTGCCAAGTTGAGAAGATTCATGTTCCAAATTGCTTTGAATTCTTTTGTAAAGCAATACAGATTATAACTTTTTAATTTAAAAAAATGTGCAGCTTTCAGATTTAGAACAACTAGTATGCTTTATTAGATTAAGGCAGGGTTTCTCAACCTTAGCAACCTTAAGCTGTGTGGACTTCAGCTCTCAGAATTCCCTAGCTACCAAGCTGGCTGGGGAATTCTGGGAGTTGAAGTCCACACATCTTAAAGCTGCTAAGCTTCAGAAATCCTGGACTAAGGGAATACTCTTAAAACTCTAGACCTCTACCTTTCCTCTTTTAGGTCTTTTGTTTTTATGTACAGCTTTTGGATTTTAATTGTTTGAAGCTATTTTTGCTGCAATTTTAATATTGTCAACAATTATGGATTTTATATTGTGCTTTGTGGTTTTAATAAAATGATGCTTTTTATTTTATGTTGTTAGCTGCCACAGGCTGGATTTATTGAGAAGAAGCAGGTTATAAATATGATAGATAAATAGAAGGGGAGAACTGCTCCATCAGTGAAGAGCTGTGCTGGTGGCCTAACATAATCACCATGGAAGCCTGATTACTTTGGTAGAAAGTTTGAGGGCTAGAAACTTACCATTAGCACTAGACCTCGAAGGAAAATCTATAGAGGCAAAATATGGTCAGTTATGGGTCCACCAGATCCAAAACTTCTTTGTCCTTCTACCAGCCTTCCTTTGGAAATACGCCTCGGGCAGAATAAAAGATGCACAGTGAACAAAATGATCAATTTTACACTCTGGATTCTCTGAACTGCATAGCTCTGGATGCATCAGTAACTCTAGGCAGTTGTGTCTCATTCCTTCACCAATGTATAATATTCCTGTGCCCTATATATTTACTAATCCCATACAAATTTACTATGGGATAAGAGCCATTGAAATCCAATCTATGCAGGCCAGCTGATAGGAATGGATGGGATCATTCCAGGAACTTGGCTGTATGGTGAACTGTCAAATAATTTGGCTTTAAAACTTGGATCTAATTTTAATTTTAAATTGAGCTTGCAAGTACATCGATATCAAGGCATATGGAAAGTTATTACAGTATTTTGATATCCAACTCTGTTGTCTCTTCTACCTCAATGTCATTTGTTGCCGCTTCCTTAAAGTGCTGCAGGAATTTGCCCATTTAATGTTTTGAGGTCATTGGTAAGGAGCAGTCCAATTGTTATTTCCTTTTGCTCTGCCTGTTGAGAGAAGTCCATGCCTCTGCTTTGCAATCTTCCACTAGTTATTATTTTCAAGCAAAAGACTGCTCAGAGGAAACATCCATTAGAACTCCTAGATGTTCTGAAACAGAGTTGGCCCTTGCTAGTTTACTGATCAAGAAAAATGCTAATATCAAGTAATTTTGTGTAATTCACTTTTTTCATAAATGTTTTAATTAAGAGTTACATATCTGTTGTTAATCAAAATAGTTCATGCTTTTTTTAAAAAAAAGACAACATTGAAATGCTTTAAAACATTCTTAGGAGTATAATAGAAACTAGTAAGTCTGTGCTTAATTACCTGGGTTCTTTCATGTCTCAAGTTAAGAGGTATTATATAGGAAAAAGGTGGACAGCAGTAGAAAAGAGCTTGTGAGCAGTAGGGGCAGGATTAACCTGATTCAGTTGGGCCTGAATTGGAGGGAGTTTGGGTCAGGCTTAACTTAAAAGACTTTGAGTTCATCAAACTGGATTTTATTTTGAGTTTCCCCAGATTATAATTTCATCCTCAACTCTTTAAATGATGATGTTTCCTTTAAGTAGTGCATATCTGCTTAATCCTGATAGCTAAAGAGAGAGTTTTCTAATATTTTGAAAAGGTATTTCATTTGGATTTTGACAGTGCTCCGTAATTGTGGAGTAGGCATGAAAACCATCTTTTGAAGTAACATTGTAGTTCAAATATGGGTTTCTGGATGATAGCCCCCATGGTTTTTAGCTATAAAGGGGTCAGGGAACAGTTAGGGCCCAAACCAAACCATGTAGGATACTTTAGCTCAAAACCATGACTTGTCAGTTGCAAGGCAAAAAACCCAAAATCAGTTTCTGATCTGCCAGCCACAGGATGAACATGGCTAACAAACACCAATTGAACTCTGCATGTCTATAGGATTTTTCCTCTTTAAACCTTCAATTAAATTCTGTGCTCTTGCACTGTATAGGTACTATAGCTTTTATTCATTGATGCCTTCCTCCCGTCCCCATCCTGGCTTTGAGGGAAGGCCCCGTGGACCTTCAGGAAAACAGTGAAGACCTGGTTTTCCCCCAGATACTGGGGCCAGGAGGTTGATAGAGCTGGCACTGGGGGGTAGAGGTGGATGGAAGTGAGTTTTGTCAGGGCCTCAACATTGTTTATAGTTTTAAATGGTCAATTTATTGTATTGTATTCTTATTTTGTTCATCACCCAGAGTTCCTTCTGATAGATTGGTGGCTATATAAGATGGATGGATGGACCGGTGGATAAATGCATAGTTAGCTAGATCATTGTTAATAAGCAGTGGATTGACTGCCAATTGGAGACATTTTTATGAAACTGGGAGAATAGTCCCTCAATCAGTCAAAATTTGAAGATTGTAACCAAACATAGCTTCCTGTATAAGTTCTGTTTTCTGATGTGCATCCCTGTGTGTCTTATTTCTGCAGCAAACATCATGTACCTGGGAAGTCAAGAAATGAGGAAGGTCATAGACCGAGACAATTCTACAATAAAGCAGCATTTAAAAAAGGTAGACCTTTATTCTTTACATTTTCCATTTGTTCAATTCCAAACTGGGGGTACAAAAGGTAGCGCCTACTGTACTTGCAAGTTTTTAAACCATCCGTGTCTTTTCCTGGGGTTGTGTGATAGCTGCAGAGGGCAGCCATGTGATTGTGGAAAAGATGCAGCAGCTTTAAAGAGTTGCAAAGAGGCGCTATATTTGGGCTCCCATATGCTCTGAAGCCACTTTTCTGAATTATTTCTAGCCTTATTGCTTATCTATTTCCAAGTATTTTGTTAGTATGTTTTTTTCAAATCCAAACAATTTCGCTCAGCTCTAATTCCAGGTTTGAGTAACTTTGGGTCTATTTGAAAGATTCTGTGTACCTCATCTCATCTTGTAATACTTTAAAGTGAGCTATAACAAGAATATTTTAGAATAAAAACAAGAAGATACCCCAAATACCTGACAGCATCCAACGAGAGCAACTAGATATTTAAACATTATATTTTTAGTAATTTATCTACTTATTTACTTTATTTGTATCATTTGTATATTGCTTATTAATTTTTTTAAATCCTATAGACTCTTTATAGTCAAAAATATAAAATATGAAGCATGTACCTGAAACAGTTAAAATAGTTTCAGGATCAAAACAATTAAGAAAGGAAATACTATATTTTATTTGAAGGCATATCTTCTCTGGATGGTCCTCTTCTGAAGGTTAATATGCACCTCTAGATGTACCGTGTGCTTTCTCTGAACCCAAAACCAGCAGCTACAAAGGCACGGGTCTCAGCTTAGAATCCCATAAGGCAGAGAACCTTTCATTGTGGACATCTGCAGGAGGGGGCAAGTGAAATCATGTGTGTCAGAGCGGATGTCATTCACGTCATGATGCAACTGATGCAAATTACATAATTCACATCATTTATGTGAAGGTGCAGTGGCATATATCATGTCATGGTGACTTCAACCAAATATCTATAGTTCTTACCTAAATTGGCAGAAAAAATCAAATTCTAGGGAACAGAGGAGGTGGAGGATTCATACTCAGGGATGCAGATGTAACTAATGAATTGGTCTACTTGTAAGTAAAGCTTCCTCAGTTGTAGGATTTGACTTATTCCTTTCGAATAGCCTAATGGCTAATAATGGAAGCCTGGATGGAATTTTATGAGTTCTGGCTTTACAAGCTTTTAGTTTGTAACAGACAAGGCTGGAAATAATGTCACTATACCTTGCCATGCTTCTGACTTACTTAATTCATTCAACCTCTGGCTCTTGACCTCCACCCTGACTTTAGTCCTTGTCTTTTGGATAATAGACTCTGTTTGATGCCTCAACTTTATTTGACCTCTTTGTATGCACCTTAGTATGGCATCTGACTCTTTTTTTCTGTTGCCTGTGAATTATTAGGTTCTGTACTCCTGACAGTGCTAACAGCTTGTTTACTCCATTGCCTAACCAGAAATTCAAATATTTAAAAGAATCAGCTCCTACACTGTGTTATCCATTAATAAGATAATAAGGCTGGAGAAGGGTGATCCAGCCTACTCCAAAAGGCTCCATCCATCCATCCATCCATCCATCCATTTATGCAGGACAGGCTGGATATAGCTTTTAAAAAAAAAACCTGGAGTAAGTTGGTGTTCTGGGGACTTTTTTGCACTGCAATCTTCAGTTCCTCGTCTTCCATGAGTGAATCAGCTGGAAATGAAGCCAGCTTAAGAAATGTTTTCTTTCATTCTGGCCACAGTGTTCTCCTAAATCAGTTATTATGGCCCCAATTAATGGATTCCCCCTCTTCTTTTCCACTCCCATCTAGGCCAGGAAAGCAAGCACCAATGGCTTTCTGTTCTGTGGGCATGTCTTCTGAGGATTGGAGGGAGGAAAACAACAGTTCTTCCAGTCACTTGAGCTAGAAGGGGAAACATGGCAGAACTCTTGTCAGTTTCACCCAGTTAAAAATTAAAAAAAGAAAGAAAGAGCATTTCAGGGCAGGCAGCCAGGATGAAATTGCCATCAAAAGCAAAGAGCAGTGATTGATTGATTGATTGATTGATTGATTGATTGATTGATTGATTGATTCATTGATTTGGGGAGACGTGCCCACCAGAGCATATAGCAGCCAACCAGAATGGAGGTGTTTGCCTAAGAGGGAATGAAACACAGACTGGGTTGCCTGCTTGTGCCAGCAGAGAGGGAAAAGCCTGACTCCTTATGACAGTGTTGTCCAAACCTGGCCACTTGAAGATGAGTGGACTTC